CCTGTGCCACACTTAATTATTACTTATATCAAACACTCAGAGCTGGTAATTCATCCTGTAAGATTGAAAACTCTTTTCCATGGCCAGAGATCACAGCCAGTGTCTCTGGGGGCTCTGTCCAGGGGGTTCCTGACCCCTGCCAGGGTCCCAGCCCTGTCAGGGCAGCCAGAGGGAAACTCTGGGCTCCCACAGGAGGGGTAAAGGAGACACCACCTCTTCCATGAGGGAATTCATCCCAAATGCCAAAACTGGAGGAGAAAAGGCCAATTTCCAGCTTTCCCTGGTCTCACTCGGGTGCCAGCACATCAGAGAGGAACAGGGAATAACTGTGGAGCTGTGCCCTCCCTGACCCCCTCCTTGCCCTCTCCCACCCAGCCCTGGCTCCCAGACCTTGCTCACCCCATCACCAGCCTTGCCCTGGCACCTGGAGCGTGGGAAATCCCTCCAAACCCTCTGAGCATTCTCAGGGACTTGGCCACCCCCAGGCAGGATTTAACCTGCTCATTTGCATGCCCTCAACACCTCTAATTAAATCTCTGTGGCGCCACAGTCCCTTCAGCCCCCCCTACCCCTGGAAATCCCCGGGCTGTGCTGCTGGGGATGGTGGGAAGGAAACAGGATGAGTCCCACACACAGGAGTGGCCACGGGCACGTTGTGTTTTCCCTCTTCATGCTAAAAATAAGAAGGTTTTTGCAGGTTTGTGGCCAGAGCCAGGGGGCTGTGGAGGAAAACCAGCTCCTTTTGTGGCCACGGGGCTCCTGGCCTGTCCCTGGCCTGGGATCACAGCCCAAGATCACCCAAGTGAGGGTCCCCAGCGCTCTGCAGCACATGCAGCCCCCTCCCTGAAATCCAAAAAGTTCCTTTTTCAACCTCCTCAAAGCAAAAAACCAATGGTGTGAAGGTCACAGGGCTCCAGCCAGGAGCCACCAGCTGGGGACACCCCAGATGTCACCCACTCCCCCTTTGGAGAGGGGAGAGGGGAAACAAATCAGCCTCCAAGGATGTCACTGCTGGGGGGAGTTGGGGGAGCCAAAGGGTTAAAAAAGCCCCAGGGAGTTTGTCCTGGTGCTCTGAAGAGATGGGATCAGCTGGGAAAATCAGGATAAGGCAGAGCCTGGTGGGCCAGGATCAGGATCAGGGCTGAGACCCCAAGGGATTCTCCTGGGGTGGCTCCAAGGGTGTTCCCAGGGATTGAGGGGTTTGGTGGCAGCACTGAGGTGGCACCTGCAGGAATGGGAGATGCAGCACCCAGTGACAGCCACCAGAAAGGGACCATCGGGGTGACAGGGACCCACAGGGTGACAGGGACCCACAGGGTGACAGGGACCCACAGGGGATTGAGTCAGGGTGACCATACCAGGTGACCACAGACCAGGGTGACCACGCCAGGTGACCACGCCAGGTGACCATGCCAGGTGACCACACCAGGTGACCATGGACCAGGGTGGCCACAGACCAGGGTGACCACACCAGGTGACCATGCCAGGGTGACCATGCCAGGGTGACCATGCCAGGGTGACCATCCCAGGTGACCATCCCAGGTGACCATGCCAGGGTGACCATGCCAGGTGACCATGCCAGGGTGACCATGCCAGGGTGACCACGGACCAGGGGTGGACCAAGCAAGATGTGGGTGCAGGATGACACCGCAGTGTCACCAAGCATCCTCTATCTTTTCCTGTGACCGCTGGGACATTGGCTTGTCACTGCCACCACCCAGGAGTCCCCACGGAGGGCAGCACTGGTGGATTTGAGCATCTCTGAGCGGCACAGCCCTGGGGCCGTGCCATCCTTGTCATGCCACGCCACTGCTGTGCCATCCTCGTCATGCCACGCCACTGCTGTGCCCCAGGGAGAGGATCCCACAGTTTCCCACCCGTGAGGGGTTAAATGTCCCCAGCCATCCCCCAGTGACGGACAGACGCTGGTCCCCAGCAATTAAGTGCCAGCTCCGGGTACACCGCAGCCGGGCCGGTGACGTGAGGACGGATCCGGGCTGGCTGGCGGTTTGTCCCTGGCGGGCACCCAGTGCCCGGAGCCACAGCGCTTCCCTGGGCCATGTGTCACCGGGAATTCCAGCTCTGCTGCCGCTGTGCCCCCCCTCTGCCTGCCGACCCCCCAAAATGCCCCGCCTGTCTCTGGGGTGGGGCGGGAGCGGGTGTCCCCCGTGGGAGCGGGGTGATGTCCCCACGGCTGTCGGGGGTGCAGCTCGAGGCATTTCCCTGCCCAGAGCAGCTGAGCTTTGGGGTCAATTCACAGATTTTGCACATTTTGATGCTGGGGGTGTCAAACCCTGAAATGGGGAAAGATTTCTGCGTCTCCAGAAGGCTCCGAGTCCCTCCCCGACCCTTCCCAATGGGTCCCCTGGTGTCCCCTGGGCACCTCCCGAGCCTGGCGAAGGGCGAGGGGGACCCAGCCGGGCCGGGGCTGTGCAGGGAATTGTTCCTCTGGCTGGGAACTGAGGAGAAAAACAACAAAAATGGGATTTGCGGAGACTCCGCGGGCGGTGCCGGTCCCAGCTCGCCCAGTGGGGTGACTGGGAGGAGCGGGGGCGGGGCGGGGAGAGCGCTTTGTCCTGCCGGGGGGGTGGGAGCCCCAAATCGGGGTGGGGGGCTTGGCTTTTGAGGGGATCAGCCCAAAATCCGCCCCTTGTGCCACCCAAATGTCCCCAGTGCCAGGGACGCCGGTGGTGGCAGAGGCGCCGGCAGGACCCGGACCCTGCACATCTGGGGGTGCCACATCTGGGGGTGCCACATCTGGGGGTGCCACGTCTGGGGGCATCGCACATATGGGGGGGGTTGCACACCCCGGGGGATCGATCACACATCTGGGGAGTGCCACACACCTGGGGCTCCCCATCCGGGGATGGCGGCTGCACCTCTGAGGGGGCTGCACATCTGGGGGGGTGACACATCTGGGGGATCCCACATCTGGGGGGGTGACAGATCTGGGGGTGACACATCTGGGGGGTGACACACCTGGGGGTGACACATCTGGGGGGGTGACACATCTGGGGGGTGACACACCTGGGGGTGACACATCTGGGGGTGACACATCTGGGGGCTGACACACCTCGGGGGTGACATAGGGGGTGACACAGTGGGGGGGTGACACAGCGGGGGTGACACATCTGGGGGTGACACATCTGGGGGTGACACATCTGGGGGGTGACACACCTGGGGGGTGACACACCTGGGGGTGACACATCTGGGGGGTGACACATCTGGGGGATCCCACATCTGGGGGGGTGACCCATCGGGGGGGGGGTGACAGATCTGGGGGTGACACATCTGGGGGGTGACACATCTGGGGGTGACACATCTGGGGGGTGACACACCTGGGGGTGACACATCTGGGGGATGACATAGCAGGGGGTGACACAGTGGGGGGGGGGGTGACACATCTGGGGGGGTGACACAGCGGGGAGTGACACGGGGGGGGTGACACATCTGGGGGGGTGACACACCTGGGGGTGACACATCTGGGGGATGACATAGGGGGTGACACAGTGGGGGGTGACACAGTGGGGGGGTGACACACCTGGTGGGTGACACATGTGGGGGGTGACACATGTGGGGGGTGACACATCTGGGGGCTGACACACCTGGGGGGTGACACATCTGGGGGATGACATAGGGGATGACACAGTGGGGGGGTGACACAGTGGGGGGGTGACACATCTGGGGGGTGACACATCTGGGGGTGACACATCTGGGGGGGGTGACACATGTGGGGGCAGCGGGGGACGGGGGCGGCGCGGGGCAGTGCTGCCCCCCGGTGGCCGCAGTGGGGATCGCACCCCATCCCTCCCCCCGGGGAAACTGAGGCACGACCCGCGCCCCTCCCGCCCCCCCGGGGGGATCCGCCGCTCCCCGGGACTGCTCCCCCCGGTCCTGCCCGTGCGTGTCGCCCAAAGGGGGTCACCTGCTCCGTGTAACCCCTGGGGGACGCCAGGGTCCCTCCGGGGTGGGCTCGGGTTTGTCCGCAAACCTGGAAAAAAAAAGGAGAGAGAAGCTGAGCAGGGATGTGACAGCCTGAGGGACTGGGGAGCACAGATGGGACCCTCGGGGACACAGGGGACACGGCCCAGCTGCTCCATCACCTCCTCAGTTGCACCGGAGAAGCCAAAGGGCTTAAAACGACCCCAAACCTCAGAACCCCGTGCCGGGAGAGGTGGTTCAGAGGGTCACTCCAACCCCACAGACACGACCCCCGGGCACCCCGTGTCCCCCCAGCCAGGCTGACCCCGCGGTTCTGGGGACGATGACTCCCTGCAGCCGCCCTTCACCCGGTCCTGGGCTCTTAGCCCGGATCCCGCCCCTTCCTCGGTACAACCGCCCCGGGCAGTGCCAGCTTGGTGAGCCCGGGATTGCCCCGCGGGCAGGGACAGAGTCCTGTGGGTGCCAGGGCTGGGTGGTGCCGGGCGGGACGTCACCGACACCCATCCCCGGGGCGGGGGACCTTGGGCTGGGGACAGCCCGCTGGGTGCCCGGGGCCGGGCTGATTGCGGGGTGGTGGCTGTGCCAGGTGCTCGTGTCGCCGCCGTCCCTCCCCTGCTGAACGAGAGGGCAAAGAGCGGCTGGGTGCGGTGCCGACAAGCGCTGTCCCCTGCCCCTGTCACCCTCCGCAGCCACCGCCCGAGCGGCGGAGCAGCCAGAGAGGTGAGCGGGGGGACACCCCGGGCAGCGACCCCATCTCTGCACTTGGGGTTCGGCTTCGCTGGAGACCCCCCCGGGGCTGGGATGGAGCGGGGGGACGAGGTGGGGGGGTCAGGGAGGTCCCGGTGGCCACCAGGGCGACGGCACCGCCCGGGGTGGGGGGTTGGGGACACATTGGGGTGACACAAGGACCATGCCCGGCATCCCACAGCAGGATCGAGACGCTCTGGCTGCTCCCCGGCAGGATGGGGGACCCCTTCGGCCGCTGGAGCAGCAGCCCGTCCCGGTGAGCGGCCCCGGGGACCCCGAGGGGTGGGAGGGACAGGGGACAGGGGGTGTCAATGTCCCTCTGTCCGTCCAGGAGTGAATATGACGACAGGACCCCGCTCCGACATTCCAACAGCTTCGTGCGCCTCACCGGGAAAACCATCTACAGTGAGTGAGGGCTGCACCCCAAAAACCCCTTTAGCGCCCCCCGCTACCGCCCCCCGCTTGTCCCTGTCACCTCACCCTGCGTGTGCCCTCAGACCAGCGCAAGGACTACGGGCAGACCCTGCTCAAGCTCCAGAACGATTTCCAGCACCACGTTGAGGTAGAAGCCCCCCCCCAAACTGCCTCGCGCCCCCCAGCCTTGCCAGGGGCCCGTGTGGCACCGTGTGGCACCGTGTGGCACCGTGGGGCACCGTGTGGCACCGTGTGGCACCGTGTGGCACCGTGTCCCCCCAGCACCTGCTGACGATGCACCTGGAGCGGGAGCTCCGCAGCGTCGAGGACTGCCTGGGGCGCCTGAGGGAGCTGGAGGAGCAGGGCCGGCTCTGGGGGCAGGATGTCATCCTGGAAGTCAGGGAGCAGGAGCTGGTGCTGAGCGACGTGGAGAGCAAGGTACAGCCCGGCCAGAGTGCCCCCAAAAGGCTGGTGCTCCCTGAACCCTGGAATCCCCGGGCAGGGCACCCCCAAAGCGCAGCGCTTCTCAAGCAGGGCACCCCTTGAATCTCGGTACCCGCCGGCCAGGGCAACCCCAGACCCCAGTACCCCTGGCTATGGGAACCCCCAAACCCCGGTACCCCCTGGCTATGGGAACCCCAAACCCCGGTACCCCCTGGCTATGGGAACCCCAAATCCCGGTACCCCGGGCTATGGGAACCCCCAAACCCCGGCACCCCCCGGCTATGGGAACCCCCAAACCCCGGTACCCCCTGCCTATGGGAACCCCCAAACCCTGGTACCCCCTGGCCAGGACATTCCCTGAATTCTGGCACCCCTGGCTATGGGAACCCCCAAACCCCAGTACCCCCGGCTATGTGAACCCCCAAAGCCCGGCACCCGCGGCTATGGCTATGGGAACCCCAAACCCCAGTACCCCCGGCTATGAGAACCCCCAAACCCCAGTACCTCCTGGCTATGAGAACCCCCAAACCCCGGTACCCCGGGCTATGGGAACCCCCAAACCCCAGTACCCCCTGGCTATGGGAACCCCCAAACCCCGGTACCCCCTGGCCAGGACATTCCCTGAATTCTGGCACTCCCTGGCTATGGGAACCCCCAAACCCCGGTACCCCCGGCTATGGGAACCCCAAATCCCGGTACCCGCCGGCAATGGGAACCCCCAAACCCCGCTACCCCCTGGCTATGGGAACCCCCAAACCCTGTCACCCCCTGGCTATGGGAACCCCCAAAGCCCGGTACCGCCTGGCCAGGGAATCCCCTGAATCCTGGCACCCCCTGGCTATGGGAACCACCAAACCCCGGTACCCCCTGGCTATGGGAACCCCCAAACCCCGGTACCCCCTGGCCAGGACATTTCCTGAATTCTGGCACCCCTGGCTATGGGAACCCCCAAATCCCAAACGCCTCCTGTCCAGGTATCCCCAAACCCCAGTACACCCCAGTGCCCCCCACCCTGGCAGCTCCTATAGCCCTGGCACCCCCCAGTCTGGGCAACCCCCCAGTCTGGCACCACACCCCTTGCCCACCCCCAGACTGTGCTATCCTCCTCCTATACCACCCCACCACCCCCATTAAACCTCTCACCCCACGAGCCCGACCCCACAATCCCGCCTGCCCCCCTTTAACCCTTTCGTGGCCATTGGGGGACTGAGCCGCCCGTTGTCCGCTGGCAGGAGGAGCTGGAGGCGTTCCCGCTGGGAAGCGTGCAGGGCTGCTGGGCCGGCCCGGAGAACGCGGTGCTGGCGGTGCGCGTCCAGGAGCGGAGCCCGCCGAGGAGCAGCGTGCTGCTCTTCCAGTGCCAGCGGCTGGGGGTAAGCCCCGGGCGGGGAAAAAGGGGGCGCAGCCCCCCGGGATGGGCTCTGACGGCAGCGGGTCCGTGCCAGGCAGAGACGCTGCGGAGCAGCCTGGAGAAGGTGCTGAGGCAGAGGAAGGAGGAGCAGAGCCATCACTTCGGGCACAGGTACGGCGGGTAAGTGGCCCTGCGGCCCCTCCCTGGACACAGCTCGGCTGGGCCCCCAAATGTCGCTGCCCGAGGTCACGGTGAGTCTGGCCATGGGGTCTCCTCGTGGGTCCAAAACCCCCCTGCCCGTGGGCACACGCCCCAGCTGAGGGGGGAGGGAGGGCAGTGCCCCAGCGCCCGGCTCAGCCCCCCCATCCTGCCCCACGCCATGAGTACAACCCCCCCCCACACCCACCCACGGGCTCAGCCTCCTTCCCCCCCCCAACTCCATCCCCACGGGCCCAACCCCCTCACCCCATCCACAGCCTCACTCCCCCCCCACCCCCTCACCCCATCCACAGCCTCACTGCCCCCCATCCCACCCCTGTTCCTCATGCCCGTGGGCACCGAGCCCCCCCGACAGCCGTGAGCTCGGTGTCCCCTCACCCCCACGGGCCCGGCGCGCCCCCCGCCCTATTTCCCATCACTGCGCTCCTCCTCCCTCTGACCCCACAGACCCCACAGCCACTCCCGGCACCATCCCCGCTCCCACCCCATACCCACCACAAACCCTCTCCCCCACCGCCCCCCACTCTCGGCTCACCCTCTCCTCCCCATCCCGCTGGCCCCGGAGCAGCCCCGACTCGCCCCCCAGCCCGGTCCCGGAGCGTTGGGCAGAGCCCCCCGAGCCCGACCCCCGCCTGTCCCCGCGGCGTGGGGCGCCCCCCCAGCGTGGGCTGCTCGCCTCGGACTACGGTGAGTCTCGGCCGGGGAGGGAGGGACCGCACCGTGCCTCAGTTTCCCCCGGAGCGGGGGTGACTCTGGTGACTCTGGTGCCACCAGGTGCCCCGGACACCCCACAGACCCCGCGGCCCCGAGCCCCCGGCCACGCCGTGCCCGAGGCGGAGCGAGATGTGGTAAGTCCCGGGCCGGCCGACCCCTCACGGGTGGGACACCGCAGCTCCCACCCAGCACACCCACCCTCCCCGCACCCACAGGAGATCCTCAACCACGTCCTGCGTGACCTGGAGCGCTTCATGGGCCGGCTGAAGGCGGCCCTGAGCTCGGCCAGCGCGAAGAAGAAGCCGAAGAAGCCAGGTAGGAAGGGAGGGGGGTCTTTGGGGGGCTGCTCGGGGTTCTCCCGGTGCCGACCCCCGGCTCTGCCCCTCCAGCGCTGCCCCCAAGGGATGAGTACACGGATTTCTTCCAGAAGGTGAAATACGCCCTCAACCTCTTGGTAAGTCTGGAGGGGCGGCTGAGGGTGGGGGGATGTGGGGAGGGGCTAAGTGGGAATGGGGGGGGCTGGGTGGGGGTTGGGGGCTGTGGGCAAGGGGGGAATTGTGTGGGAAAAGGGGGGCTGTGAGGGTGGGGGGCTGTGGGGATGGGGCCCTGTGGGAGCAGGGGGGTGTGGGGATGGGGATTCCATGAGAACGTGGGGAGTGGGGCTGTGTGGGACGGGGGGGGGCATGGGGTTAGGAATGGGGAAGCTCTGTGGGGTGGAGGGGCTGCACGGGGTGAGGGAGAACTGAGGGGCTCTGGGGGGACGGAGGGGATGTGTGGGGTGGAGGGGCGGTATGGGGACAAGGGGCTGTGTAGGGATGAGAGCTGTGGGTGGGCTGGGGGGCTCCGTGGGGCTGTGTGAGGACAGGGGAGGCTCCGTGGGGACACCTTCCCCCCCCCACAGGGCCGGAGCCACCACTACGTGACGGAGCCCGACCCCCTCGAGCTGCTGCGCCTCATCTTCTCAGCCCTGTCCTTCGTGAGTGCCCCCCGAGCGGGTCCCACCCCCCAAACTGTGTGACAGGGCTGGGGCTCACCCCCCCGCCCCATGGCCGTGCCCCCAGGCGCTGGCACACTGCCCCAGCCCCGGCCTGGCCCCGGCGGTGCGGAGCCCGCTGCTGCTGCCCGAGGCGCTGCAGCTCCTCGAGGAGAGCCTGGGCGAGGATGACTACGGCGTCTGGAAGAGCCTGGGCACCGCCTGGAACAAATCCAGGTGGGCTCCAGCCCCCCGACAGCGAGAAAGGCGGTCTGGATTTGAGGGGGGGGTCGCAGTGCCCACCGCGGTGCCCTCCCCGCTGTCGCAGGGCCGAGTACCCCGGCAGCGCCCTGGTGCCCGCCTACACGCCCGTGTTTTCGGACGGGTGGCTGCCCCCCGTGATGGAGCAGGAGCGCCGCGGGGACCTCCAGGACACCCCACCGCCTGCCTCAGTTTCCCCAACCCCCTTGGGACACCTTTCCCCGTCCCTGTCCCCCGCACGGGCACCGGGCCCCGCCTGGAGGGACAATCCAAGCTCAGAGTGAGTGCCCCCCTTTCCCCACGCGTGCCGGGGCTCGGGGCAAGATTAACCCCCGGCTGGGCACTGACCCACCCCCTCCCCGCCCCCAGATCCCCCCTGCCCGCCCAGGGGCTGGTCCGAGCCCTGTACGACTTCCAGGCTCGGAACTCGCAGGAGCTGAGCGTCAGGAGGGGGGACACGCTGCAGGTACAGCCGGGGCGGCCCCACGGCCGCTCGTGGGGAGAGCGCAGTGGGGACCCCGGGGCCGTGGCTCTCCCTTGTCACCTTGTCACCCCCCGCAGGTCTTGGACCAGCAAAGGAAGTGGTGGCTGGTGCAGGACGAGCGGGGGGACCGGGGGCACGTCCCCGGTAACATCCTGGAGCCCCTCCCGGAGCCGGGGTACAGCGCCGGGCAGGTGGGCGGCCTCTCTCCCCTCCCCTCCCCGCGCCCCCCACCAGCACGGGGCGGCCACCGCGATGTCCCCTCCCTTTGTCCCCCGCTCCAGGACAGTCCCCCCACCCTGCAACCCGGCTCCTCGCCGGCAGAGGTGACGGCCTGGCTGACGGACAAGGGCTTCTCGCGGATGTAGGTGGTCCCTTGAGCCCCTCCCCGCAGAACCCGCCTGGGTCGGTTTGGGGCTGGGGGCTCACCGGCTGACCCCGGCCCGCCCGCAGCACGGTGCGGACCCTGGGGGTGCTGCGGGGCCACGAGCTGCTGCAGATGAGCCCGGCCGAGCTGCGCGGAGTCTGTCCCGAGGAGTGGCGGAGGGTCCTCTTCAAGCTGTCCCCCATCCGGACATCCCTGGGGGTGAGGGGCTCCCACCCCGCGCCCCCTCCCCACCTCGGGACCCTCGGCCCCGCGCCCCCTCCCCACCCCGGGGCTGGCCTGGCGGGACCCCCACCCCTGCCCCATCTCCGGCCCAGGGGGGGTCCCGGGGGGTGTGGGACCCCCGGCCCCCTCCCCACCCCTGTGGGTGACGGAACCCCGGCCCCAGAGCCCCGGGCTGGCCATGGGCGGGGGGAAGGGACCCTCATCCCCATCCCTCATCCCTCCTCTGCAGATCGGTCCCAGGGACTGAGCCACCGAGGCCACGCCGATGTCCCCGTCATGTCCCCCCCCGGATGGAGCACCCTGGGAACGGCTGGACTTGGGGGCGAACCCCCCCCACTCACGACAGAGAACCACTCCCTGAAATCAGAGAATCCCCCGCGAAGGAAGGAGGGGGCAGGCACCCCCCTCGGCGGGGTCAGGCGCTGTGAAGCGACTTTGCACCCCCAAAATGTAAATTGATGTGGAAAATAAAAGTGACAGCAGCAGCGGGGCGTGTAGAGTATGGGGGGCAGCCCGGGGGCAGGGGGAGGGACACGGGGAATAGGGGAATAGGGACAGGGAGGGGGACAAGGGGAATAGGGGAATAGGGACAGGGCAGGGAGGGGGACAACGGGAATAGGGACAGGGCAGGGAGAGGGACAAGGGGAATGGGGGAATAGGGGAATAGGGGAATAGGGGAATAGGGGACTAGGGGACTAGGGACAGGGAGGGGGACAAGGGGAATAGGGGAATAGGGACAGGGCAGGGAGAGGGACAAGGGGAATAGGGGAATAGGGGAATAGGGGAATAGGAACAGGGCAGGGAGAGGGACAAGGGGAATAGGGGAATAGGGACAGGGCAGGGAGAGGGACAAGGGGAATAGGGGAATAGGGGAATAGGGGAATAGGAACAGGGCAGGGAGAGGGACAAGGGGAATAGGGGAATAGGGACAGGGCAGGGAGGGGGACAAGGGGAATAGGGACAGGGCACGGAGAGGGATGCAGCATTTCACCCCCCGCAGCACCCCAGGCACACTCCTGGTCCCCATCTTTTCCAGTCGGTGGCAGTGAGGGGCCCCAGGGGACAGGGCTGTCCCCAGCCCACCCCGCTCAGTACCCCGGTGGGTGGCAGGGCACCAAGGCTCCCTCCCCCCAGCCTTTGTCAGGGCTGCCTCATTAGAGCTCGTTAGGAATGTGTTAATGAGGAGCGGGGCTCCTTTCCCTTTCCCAGGGCAAGAAGGAGTGGCCTCGTGCCCCAAACCAACCCAGCCATGGGGGACTGGGACCCCTGGGGCAGGGACCCCCTGCTTGGGGCAGGGACCCCCACAAATCTTGTGGGGGCTCAGGGTGCCACATCTAAAAAGCGTTTTATTGTCTCGGGGTGGGGGGGGGCGTCATGGCAGTGGTGCTGCCCCCCCCCAAGGATGGAGGGTGCTGGGGGGCTGGGTCAGGACTCCCCCCACCCTCTGAGCCCCCGTGCTGAGCTCCTACAGCTTCTTGTTGCCCCACTTGGCCATCTTGTTGTTGATGGGCATCTTCTGGAAACGGCTGGACTTCAAGTAGGCAGCCACCTTCTCCAGAGCCTGGGGGCACACACACAGCGTCAGGGGTGCCCCCACTGCGGCAGCCCCCACCCAGGGGGGACCTCGGGGTGCCCCTGCTCACCCCAAAGCGCTCCACAAAGTCCTTGAGGTTCTTGAAGGGCTCCAGGCACTTGGGCTCGAAGATGCGGTTCTGATCCAGCACGTCGAACATGAGGAAGTCCACGAAGGTCAGCTGGGGACATCGGGGGGACACAGTGAGGACAAAGCCCCTCCCCAGCCCCTCAGCCCCCCCGGGAGTCCTGGCAGTACCTTCTCCCCTGCAAACCACTTTCTGTCCCCCAAGAAGTTGGAGAAGAGCTTCAGCTTCCCCGGGAGCTGCTCCAGGTAGCCCGGCTTGAGCTTCTCCTGAGGGAGGGAGGGAGGGGTGAGGATGGGCAGCCCCAGCCTGCCCCCATGGGGAGCACCCTCCCTGTACGGGGTCCCCAGTGCTGGCACAGGGTCCCCAGTGCTGGCACAGGGTCCCCCAGCCCGCAGGACACTCACAAAGTCAGGGTTGTAGCAGACCATGACAAGGCTCATGCGGAAATCCATGATCTGGTTCTCCAGCATGTCCACACGCAGGATCTCCTCCTCTGTCTCACCACCTGCACAGGGGGGTCAGCACTGGGGGCCCAAACCTGTCCTGGCCCCAGCCCTGCACCCCAAACCCTCCCTGACCCCAGCCCTGCACCCCAAACCCTCCCTGACCCCAGCCCTGATACCCCAAACCCTCCCTGACCCCAGCCCTGCACCCCAAACCCTCCCTGGCCCCAGCCCTGCACCCCAAACCCTCCCTGACCCCAGCCCTGATACCCCAAACCCTCCCTGACCCCAGCCCTGCACCCCAAACCCTCCCTGGCCCCAGCCCTGCACCCCAAACCCTCCCTGGTCCCAGCTCGACTGCTGGCTGTGGGTTCATTTACCTTCAGCTCCAACCCCATGCTCACCCCAACTCCAACCTGTACCCCAAACCAAGCCCAGCTGAACCCAAATTCAATTCCAACCTTACTCCAACCCCATCCCCAGCCCTACTCCAATTCCAGCTCCCAACCCAACCCTAAGACTAACCCCACTCCAACCTCAACCCTGCTGCAATCCCAACTTTAATCCAAGTCCAGCCCCAACTTTAACCCAACTCTAACCCCAATGCAACCAAACCCTCATCTAATTCCAAATCCACATCCAACCCCACTCCAATCCCACCCCAATCCCCCAGCCCCCCCCCACTCACACATGTTGTGCTTGCGGGCGATGTAGCGCAGGATGGCGTTGCTCTGGGTCAGCTTGGTGGGGCCGTCGATGAAGTACGGCAGCTGTGGGGACACAGGGACAGAGGGACATGGGGACAGAGGGACATGGGGACATGCTGGAGGGGACAGAAGGACACCAGGACAGCCCCGTCACAGCCCCCCAGCTCCAGAGCACCTACGTTGGGGAAGTCAAGGCCCAGCTTCTCCTTCTCGTTGATCCATTGGCTCTTATCGTAGTCGGGAGCTGGAAGGGAAGGGGGGGTTGGGTGATGTCCACCCCAGAAGCCCCAAAAGAGGCTGAGGGTGGTGTGGGGACCCCCTGACCCCCCTCACCTTCCCCACAGCTGTAGAGTTTGTCCTCATAGGGTGTCTCGGTGTGCTCCAGGAGCAGGCGGATGGCGTGGGCAAGCTGGGGAGTGGGATAGGTGAGACCCCCCAAAAACATCCCCCAAAGTGAGCCTGCAACTGGCTCACACGTGGGGAAACTGAGGCACAGGGGAGGGCAAACTGCACCCCCTTCCCAGTACCCCCTGCACAGGGGACCCACCCCAAAAGCAACATCCTCCCACCCCAAACCCCCCCCAAAGACCAGAGGGGCTCCCACAGCTCCTCCCAAGGTTAGGAGGACAGCCCAAGACCCCCCAAAACATCGGAGGGACCCCACGGACTCACCGCAGCCCCCCAAGGGTGGCCCCCTGCCGTCCCCCCCAGCCTGGGTCCACCCCAGCCACCTCCCCCAAAACACCAAGGGACCCCCACAACAGCCCAAAAGCCATAGGAGACCCCCGAAGACCCCCCCAGAAACCCCCAGGAGCCAGGGGAGAGCCCCGAGACACCCCAAAGCCCAAAGGGACCTCCCGCAGCCCCCTACGAGATAAACGGGACCCCCCCACGAGCCCTCTCTGCCCCCCAAAAGCTCAGAGGGACCCCCACAGCCCCCCCAAGCCAAAAGAGACCCGCGCAGCCCCCCCCAAAGCGCAGCGGAACCGCCACAGCCCCGCCCCCAAATCCAGAAGGGACCCCCCAAACCCCCCGAACATCCCCTGCGACCCCCGAAACACCAAAGGGACCCCCAGAGCCCCCCCCCAACTCCCCCAGAGAACAGGGGGGAAGCCCGGAGACCCCTTAAGTCCCCCCAAAAAGCGCAGGGGGAGCCCCGGAGCTCTCTCAGGGGTCCCCGGGGTGGCGGTCCCGGGGGTGGCGGTCCCCGGGGGTTGGGGGGTCCCGCGGTGGCGGCCCCGCTCACCCCGCGGATGTCCCAGTACCCCAACACCGCCATGGCCGCGCGATCAGCGCCCGCCCCGAGAGACCCGCCCCGAGAGACCCGCCCACCGGGGAAGGGGAATGGGGCGGGGTTGGGGCGGGGCTTAACGGGACCGGGCTCCGCCCCAGCCCGGGGGTCTCTCTTATCCCGGGGGTCCCCCTCATTCCGGGGTTCTCCTCATCCCCGGGGTCTCCCTCGTCCTGCGCGTCCCTCTTATACCGGGGGTTCTCCTCATTCCGGGGGTCTTCCTCATCCCGGGGATCCCCCTCATTCTGGGGGTCCTCCGCATCCCGGGGGTCTCCCTCATCCATGGGGTACCTCTTATACCGGGGTCTCCCTAATCCCGGGGGGGTCTCACTCATCCCGGGGGGTCCCCCTCATATCGGGAGTCCCCCTCATCCTGAGGGTTCTCCTCATCCCGGGGGTTCTCATCCCGGGGGTCTCCCTCATTCCGGGGTTCTCCTCATCCCGGGGGTCTCCCTCATCCCGGGGGTCTCCCTCATCCCGGGGGTCTCCCTCATCCCGGGGGTCCCCCTCATCCTGAGGGTTCTCCTCATCCCAGGGGTTCTTCTCATCCCGGGGGTTCTCCTCACCCCGGGGGTCTCCTGATCCCGGAGGTTCTCCTCACCCCGGGGGTCTCCTGATCCCGGAGGTTCTCCTCACCCCGGGGGTCTCCTGATCCCGGGGGTTCTCCTCATCCCGGGGGTCCCCCTTAGCAGAGGTTTCTGTGGTTCTCCCCATCCCCATGGAACCCCCTTACGCCAGGGACTCCACAACCCCCCAAACCCCGTGGGGCTCCCCAAATCCCAGGAGTTCTGCATCCCTCCCATCCCCATGGGAATCCCCTTGTCGTGAGGGTTCTGTGACCACCCCTGGGGTCCCCCTTATCCTGGGGGTCTGCGGCCACCCCAAGTTCGATGGGGGGTTCCCCTTAACAGGGGGTTCTCTGATCCCCCCCCATCCCCGTGGCTCTGCCACCCCCGTAATTCCATGGGGTCCTCCCTATCCTAGGGGCTGTGTGACACTCCCCATCCATCCCCACGGGACCTCTTGATTCTGGGGCAATGCAACCCCCCAAACTCCACGGGGTGCCCTTCTCCCGGGGCTCTGCAGCCCCTTAAATTCCATGGGTCCCCCCTTTTCCTGGGGGAAATTTGCAACCCCCCAAACTCCTTGGGAACCCCCTTATGCTGCAAGGATATCACGTCTGTGACACCCCCTCAAGCTTCACTGGGGTCCCCCCTTTCAATCCCCTCAGCTGCAGGGGGGTCTCACCATCCTGGGGGGGATAGGGACCCCACCTCGGTCCCCACAGCGCCCACGGGGGTCCCCCTGATCCGGGGGATGCGGGGGGGAGCAGCTCCCCCCATCCCGGGATCCAGGAGGGCCCAACATCCCCCAGGGGTACCCCACAAATGAGGGGCTCCCACTGCTCCCACCGCAGTCCCTTGGCAGCTCAGTGCCCCCACACAGCACAGACAAGGGGGAGCCCCCCGTGCTTTATTGGGGAGTTCTGGGGGGATTTGGGGGCGCGGGGGGGTCAGCCCCTCACTCCTTGGTGTTGCACCACTTCGCCAGGCGCCAGAAAATCGGGGTTTTCATGAAGCGCCCCGAGCTCATGTAGGCAGAGATCTTGTCCAGGGCCTGGGGGGACAGTGGAGACAATGGGGACATGTGGGGACAATGGGGACACCACGGGGACAGGGGTGGGGCCACTGGGGTGTCTGAGATGGGGACAGGGACATCGGGGTGTTGGGGACAGGGATAGGGACACTGGAGTGTCTGGGATGGGGACAGGGACACTGGGGTGTTGGGGACAGGGATGGGGTCACTGGGGTGACTGGGATGGGGACAGGGACACCGGGGTGTTGGGGACAGGGTGGGATGACTGGGATGGGGACAGGGACATCGGGGTGTTTAGGAAAAGTATGGGGTCACTGGGATGGGGACAGGGACATCAGGGTGTTGGGGACAGGGATGGGGTCACTGGGGTGACTGGGATGGGGACAGGGACACTGGGGTATTGGCGACAGTGATGGGGTCACAGGGATGGGGACGGGGACATCAGGGTGTTTGGGACAGGGATAGGGACACTGGGATGACTGGGATGGGGACAGGGACATCAGGGTGTTTAGGACAGGTATGGGGTCACTGGGATGGGGACAGGGACATCAGGATGTTGGGGACAGGGTGGGATGACTGAAATGGGGACAGAGACACTGGGGTGTTGGGGACAGGGATGGGAACACCACAGGATCAGGGATGGGGACAGAGATGGCCCCTGCAGTGTCAGGAATTGGGACAGGGACATTGGGGTGCCAGGAATGAGACGGGACATTGGGATGTCAGTGATGGGGACACTGGGGCATCAGGGACAGGGATTGGGACACCAGGGGTCAGGGATGGGGTCCCGGGGGTGGCAGGAATGGGGATGGAGACAGAAACTCCGGGGATTTAAGGATGAGGGTTGGGATGGGACAGGGACACAGCACGGAGGTGTCAGGGACGGTGACGGGCACAGGGAGTGGCGGGTGGGGACAGCGGCTGTCAGATGGGGCCGGGACAGGGCGGTGGCCCCGGGCTGTGCCCGTCCCTGCCCTGCCCACCTCGAAGCGCTGCAGGAACCGGGCCAGGTTCCCCTTCAGCTCGGGACACTCGGGCACGAACATGCGCTGCTGGTCCAGCACGTCGTACGCCAGGAAGTCCACGAAGGTGATCTGGGGGAGGGGCGGGGGGGGTCAGACCCCACAGAGACTCCCCAAAACCCCCCAGAGTCCCCCACTTACCTTCTGCCCTGCGAACCAGGGCCGGGAGCCCAGGAACCGCGACAGCTCCTGCAGCTTCTGGGGCAGCTGCTCCAGGTACGCCGGCTTCAGCTTCTCCTGCACGGCGGGGGGGGCACACTTTGGGGTGCTGCTCCCCCCAGAACCCCCAGAACCCCGGGGCATCACCCCCTGGCTGCAGCCAGCTGAGGGATGTGCCCCGAGCTGCTGGTGGGGGGACAGCCCCGGGGGCTGGGGGGGATCTGTCCCCCCGCGACCCCCCCGGGGGCACTCACAAAGTCGGGGCTGTAGCAGAGCCGAGCGAAACTCATCCTCAAATCCATCAGCTGGTTTTCCAGGAGATCCACGCGCTGCTTCTCCTCCTCCGTCTCGCCGCCTGCCGGGTGGGGAGGTGTCAACGCACCCCCCAAAAAAGCCCGGGGAACCCCCCACCCCCTCCCCCCGGGCGCGGGGACCCCCCACTCACACATGTTGTGCTTGCGGGCGATGTAGCGCAGGATGGCGTTGCTCTGGGTCAGCTTGGTGGGGCCGTCGATGAGGTACGGGAGCTGCGGGTGCCGGGGGGGGTCAGCCCGGAGACCCCCATCCCCTCCCCTCGCCCACCCCCTCCCACCCCCACATCACCTACGTTGGGGAAGTCGAGCCCCAGTTTCTCCTTCTCGTTGGTCCAGTCGCTCGGGTCATAGTCAGGGGCTGGGGGGGGCAGAGAGATTTGGGGGGGGCTCCCCCAACCCCCTGCCCCACTCGTGACACCCACAGCAATGGGGGGATGCGGGCACTGGGGGTGTCCCCCCCCCTCCCTTGCCCGGGACAGCCGTGACCCCTCCGGGCAGATAAGGGAGAACGTTGTCCCCGAGAGGGGTCAAGGTCCCTTTTATTGGGGGGGGGGATGGGGGGGACAAAGGTGACCCCCGAGCTGGCAGGAGGGGGTGGGGGCGGCGGGACACGCCGCGAAGTGGGGGCGTCTCCCCCTTTCTGACAGGGCAGGAACGAGGGGCGGGGGGTGGCGGAATTTGGGGTGACACCCCCTTGCCCCCCTCACCTGGGCCAGGGCGGTACTGGCGCTCCTGGTAGGGCGTGTCCGTGTACTCCAGCAGCAGGCGGATGGCGTGGGCCAGCTGCGGGCACAGCAGCCGCGTTTGGCACCCCAAAGCCCCCCGGACCTCTCCCCCACACCCTGGCACCCCCCAGCACCCCCAAACCCGCGCCCACCCCCGTCCCCAGCGTGCCCCTGGCACCCCTCGGTCCCACTCACCCCACGGATGTCCCAGTACCCCAGTGTGACCACCATGGCGACACGCGGCTGCGACTCTGCGAGAACACGGACTGGGGCGGACTGGGGCGGACTGGGGCAGGACCCAACCCTGTGCCCTCCCCCTGGCGTCAGTGCCATGGGCAGGGTGCCAGGGCATCCCGCCAGCGCTGGTGCTGCCACTGCCGCTCGGAATCCGCCCCCCATCACCTGGGGACCCCCAAACCCAAGCCATGATGGGACACACAACCCCCTTCTGTGCCTCAGTTTCCCTCTGGGGCTGCGCTCCCTCCCTCCCCTCACTTTCAGTGCCAGTGTTTTACTTAAATACTTTTATTTTTCATGCTTGGCTAGGTTTTTTTTCTCAGAACTTTGTTGTTTTTCTAGTCGCCATTAGGTTTTCCCGGGAATGCCGGCTCCAGATGCAGACAGCAGCACTGGGATGGGAGACTGCAGGGATAGAGGGGTACTGCCCCACCGGGATGGGAGAAGCCACAAACAAACATCTCCTGGGAGTGCTGGGGACAGGGACACTCGTCACCTGGTCCCCTTTCCCTTCGTCCCTGAGGCGGTGAGGATGCAACATTCTCCATCCCACCCCTTGCCTTCCTCCCCGTGGTGATGAGGAGGGAGCACCCCCCAGCAGGCACCATCCCCCTGTCCTCTGGGCCGCTGCGTCCCCAGCGACAGCAGAGACCTCAGGTCTGGGTTCCTTTGGTTGTCCCCACAGGGTGGAAGAAGAGGCTGAGAGGGCACCAGGGCTAAAGAGCATCAGGACCCGGTGGGGCTGGGCCGGGACTCCCACACTGTCACCACAGCAGCACCCAGGACTTGTCACTGCGTCCTCAGCTTGGGAGGTAAATCCAGGAACCCCTGGCTGTGCCCTCCCCTGTGTCACCTCCTCGTGCCATCAAGCCCAGCAGGGCCCAAGCCAGCAAGGAGCCACCAGTTAAAAACAACAGAAAAAGACAAAAAAAGCCACCCATAAAATGACCAAACCAAGATGAAACGGAGAGGACTCGACAAACTCCATGCCCTGCAGCGGCACCAGGACAGCAGCAGGAGCGGCCCCTTCCCAGGGCAGGAGGTAGCGGGTGGGGGACGGCGCAGAGCCCTGGAGGGCTCGGGGGGAGCTGGGGGTCAGTGGGTGCCCAGGGAGATGGTGAGCACGTCCTCCTCCTGGATGGGCTCCAGCTCGGCGCTCTGCACCGCCTGCGTGATGAGCGTCAGCTCCTGGCACAGCGTCTCGAAGCGGTAGCTGACGCGGATGTCGGGGACGTTGGTCCGGCGGATGTCGTTCCCCTCCGGACCCTCCTTCAGGTAGTTGGGACCCAGCCAGTAGCTCTTCACCTGCGGCAGGTGGGAGAGGGTCCCGCGGCTGCCCGGCACCCCCCGGTGCTCCCGGTGCACGCGGAGGGGGAATGGGAATGGGCAGATGGCAGTGGGGGAACTGGGAGTGGGAATGGGCAACTGGGTGGGAATGGGAATTGGGAATGGGGGAGTTGGGTGGGAATGGGAATTGGGAATTGGGAGTAGGAATGGGCAACTGGGTGGGAATGGGAATTGGGAGAGGGGGAGTGGGGAATGGGAATGGGCAACTGGGTGGGAATGGGAATTGGGAATGGGCTGGGTGGGAATGGGGGAATTGGGAGTAGTAATGGGCAACTGGGTGGGAATAGGAATTGGGAATGGGGAATGGGAATGGGCAACTGGGTGGGAATGGGCTGGGTATGAATGGAAATTGGGAATTGGGAATGGGGGAATTGGGAATGGGAATGGGAAACTGTGTGGGAATGGGAATTGGGAATGGGGGAATGGGGAATGGGAATGGGCAACTGGGTGGGAATGGGAATTGGGAATGGGCTGGGTGGGAATGGGGGAATTGGGAGTAGGAATGGGCAACTAGGTGGGAATGGGCTGGGTGGGAATGGGAATTGGGAATGGGGGAACTGGGAGTGGGAATGGGCAACTGGGTGGGAATGGGCAACTGGGTGGGAATGGGAATTGGGAATGGGGGAACTGGGAGTGGGAATGGGCAACTGGGTGGGAATGGGAATTGGGAATGGGCAACTGGGTGTGAATGGGAATTGGGAATGGGGGAACTGGAAGTGGGAATGGGCAACTGGGTGGGAATGGGGGAAGTGGGAATGGGGGAATTGGGAATGGGGGAATTGGGAATGGGAATGGGCAGCTGGGTGTGAATGGGAATTGGGAATGGGCTGGGTGTGAATGGAAATTGGGAATTGGGAATGGGGGAATTGGGAATGGGAATGGGCAACTGGGTGTGAATGGGAATTGGGAATGGGGGAACTGGGAGCCGGAATGGGCGAATGTGGGCGTTGGGGATGGGAATGGAGGAATGGAGGCAAATTGGAATTGGGAAGGGGGTTGGGAAAACGAATGGGAGAATTGGGAAATGGGGGCAAACGAGAATTAGGAATAGGCAACCTGCAGAATTGGGAATGAGGGAATGGGCCTCACCTTGTGGGAGAAGCCGCTCATAAGGACGCTGTTGCGGGCCAGCTCACACATGTCGCAGGAGCTGAGCTTCCACACCTGCGTGGCGATGCTGTACTCCTCCATCAGCGGCTCCTGGGGACAGACACACCTCAGCCCCTGCCACACGGACCCCTCCGGCAGCACAGGACGGGCTCCCCACCTCCTCCCGCCCCTCCACACCATCAGCACCTGCAGGACCCATCAGCGCTGCCAACGGCCCCACCAGCCCCACCCTGCTGCAATTTGAGGTTTTGGTGATTTTGAGATTGTAAAAAGTTGTTGTTTTTTTGCTTTGTTGCTAAAGAAGAAGTTATGATTTGTTTGTGTTGGTTTTTAAGGTTGTTTATGTTTGTTTATTTATAATATGTTTTGCTGCCCTGCTGTAGGTTTGTTTTGCAGGGCAGCGTGTGGGGTTTTGCCTTTTAGTGGGATGTCATAAATATTAAATGTTAGAAACTATATGCATTATATTTATAATAATGTGCTAATATTTATTATTTACATTGAACAGTGTGTCTTTAGCTTAAACTAATAGAAAAATGTTAATACTATAGTGAAACATGGAGGACATGAAGAAGAAGAAAAAGGATAAGATACACTTAATTTCTTTTATCTTGTCTCTTTTGAACTCTTAATTTAGAATCTTAAAATTTTACTTTTGTACTTGTGTTATACTTAATTATTCCTTATATTAAACACTTAGAGCTTGTAATTTATTTTGTAAGATTGAAAACTTTTTTTATGGACAGAGATTAGAGACAGTGTCTCTCGGGGCTCTGTATAAGGGGGGTTCTTGAGTTCTTGCTAGGGTCTTAGGCTTTTTAGGGCAGCTGGAGGGAAGCCTTGGATTCCTACACCACCCCACATCATCCCATCACCCCACAGCCCCTCCTGGGGGCACTGGCTGGTGCCCCCCCAGTGCTCACCTTGGTGAAGTGGAACTGGAGGGGGTCGTCGGTGGAGAGGGAGACCATGAGCCCCCGCGAGAGGTACTCGGGCAGGGGGTTGCGGTGGTAGCTCAGGAAGAGGCTGTTGTTGCTCAGCGGGGACATGGCAATGCCAATCTGCGCCAGGTAGTACAGGTACTGCAGCACAGGGGCCTGTGGGGCACAGCAGGGTCAGGGGGGGCCCAGCACACCCCCAGCCCCCCCAGGCACCCCGTCCCCGCTCACCTTGCGCAGCAACAACCCGTGGGAGATGTTCTCTGACACCATGAACCCCGACACGAGGTGGTGGATGGGACCGGCCTCACCACAGTGCGGGCGCAGGACAAAGGTGTGGAAGCCCCTCTTCCTGCAGTGGGTGTTTGATGTCAGCATCACCCTCTGACCTCCCCAGAACCTCCCGGGGGCGCGGGCTCCGGGCCAGGGCCGTCCTTACCGCCGGAGGTGGTTGAGCACCGTCATGTTGGCGTACATGTAGTACAGGTAGTAGGAGTAGGGCGGGTTGTCCTCCTCCACCCAGTTGCCTGGTAAAGGGCTATCCAGGTTGAAGATATGATGCTCTGGTTTGGATTCATCATCCACGCTGTCGAAGCCATCCACCTGCAGGAGAGACAGCCCCAGGGTGGGATGCCACCCCTCGCTCCCGCTGGGTTTGGGTGTCCCCAGGAGCAGCACTCACGTGCTCCAGGAAGAGGTGCAGCTCTGGGTGCTGGGCAGGGTGGATCGTGGCCTCGTAGAGCGGCAGGAAGATGTTCTCCAGCATCTCCTGGAAGTTGGCCAACTGCTTCTTTGTCCGGTAGATATCACTGCAGGGAATGGACCCCACTCAGAGCTGGCCTTCCCCCCAGTGGGGTGCCTGCATCTCCCCAGCCCAGCTGAGGGGTTCCTGCCCCCCTTGACTCACAAGAGCCGCGGCACTTGCACGAGCCAGCGGACGTTGTTGGAGTGGACGCGGTGGCTGACGGCCCAGCGGGCCAGCTTGTCCCACTCGTCCCGGGAGCGGCCGTAGATCGAGAGCCGCAGCTCCGCGTTCTGGTACTTGCTCTCCTCCAGGTCTGCCATCACCTCCTGGTGGGAAGGGACAAGTGACAAGTGTCACTGCTTGGCCACCAGGGAGGGGACATGGGTTGCAGCACCACCACAAGGAGGGGAGGTGGCCCACCTTGATGATGTGGGCAAAGTACTTCCCCGAGACGCGGTTGTCTGTCTTGATGAAGATCTCCCGCAGGATGGACTCCCCGATGGGGTTGTACTTGGCGTTGAACTTGTCGAAGCGGTGGAAGGTGTTCCGGTCCTGGACGTGGGACAGGTGTGACCCGAGAGTCCTCATCCCCCACCCCACCCCCATCCACAGCCCCCACCAAGCTCCCTGCCCCAGAAAACCCCCTGGAGAAGATCCTGTGCCCCAGCCAAGGATGGGCTGGGGGCTCCGCTCATCCCCAGGGTTTGGGAGCCTCCCATACCGCATGGACATCCAGCGTGTCCACACTCAGGTCGTAGGCTGTGAGGTTCATCGTCTCAAACACCTCCTTGAGCGTCTGCTCCTTCCCCTTCTCCACATGGACAATTTCATCCAGGTGCTTCTTCATTGCCCGCTTGATGAAGCGCAAGAGATGCTTCTGGTTCATGCAGGACGAGGCATGGATGTGGGTGTCCACCTGCACCAGTGAGGGGATGCTCAGCCCTGAGACCCTGCAAGAGCTCCCCAGTCAAGCCAGGAACCCCCTGGACCCAGGACTAGCTCGGGACCCACAGGTACCTTGCGGATGTTGTAGAAGTCGCGGTGAGGCACCTTCTTCTGGGCCGCCAACTCCTTCATCTCATTGAGCAGCACGTGCATCTGGAACTTGTTGCTCAGGTACTGCAGCCGGCGGTAGCAGAAGGATTTGCTGCCCAAAACAGAGAAGAGCAGCTCAGTTTGGGGGTGAGGAAGAACATCCAGCCCCAAAAGGCTGGTGCCCCCACAGATACAAGAAGGTGGACTCTTGGACACAGGTGAGAGCAGACGTGGGAGAGGCACCAGCACCGTGTCCCAGAGTCACTGCCATGTCCTTGGGGTGTCCCTGGGGTCCTGCCACACCCCCATCATGAGATCCCCCCCAGGGAGGGACCCTCCCGTGGGACCTTCCCTTACATGGGCCCGTTGATGATCAAAGCCATGAGGAAATTCATGTCGGCGATAAACTCCTGCAGGTCAGGGTATGGCAGGTCCAGCTCCGTGCTCCTGGCGGGGGACACACGTGGGAGTCAGACAGCCCCCCCAAAAAACCCATCACCCCAATGAGTAGGACCCTCCCTCTCACAAAACTCACTTGTCAGTGATGTCCTGCTTGGTGTAGACGTGCACGACACCATCCACCATCTTCAGCCCGAAGCCCAGGTCCGCCGGCATGTTCTGGGGATCACACTTCTCATAGGGGTGCTGCTCAGCAAACGGGGGGTGCACGGGGACATCTGCGGTCAGGAGACACCCAACATCACCCCAAAAGCTCCTGCAGCAGCCCAGCCCAGCACTGAGACCCCCCCACAGCGTGCTCACCAGCAGCCACGGGGGTCTCGGGCACCTCCTCGTAGCCACGGGTCTCCAGGGGCTTCTCGGAGAGCTCCTGCAGGTAGCGAGCCGTGGTCTTGCAGAAGCTCTGGAGCGACAGCCCCATGTACTTCTCCCGCACAAACAGCGCCTTCACCACGCTCTTGGCCGCGTCCAGCAGGTCGGTGAAGGGCACCTGGAGAGGGGACACCAAACAAAAAACCACCCCCAAAGCTGGGGTTGGCAGCCTGGAGACCCTTGCCTGGGTTCCAGGGGGGTCAGGGGGAGGCTCACCCCACATTTCTCCTCCCCAGAGATGGTGACCCGCTGGAATTCTCGCTCCAGCAGTGCCTCCCGCTCCTTGGGGACATGGTCCACCAGGCTGTCATTCTGCTCCTTGAAGAGCCTGTGGGGACAGACGTGGCCAGTGGGACAATGACAGGTCTGCCCCATTCCCGTGTATGCCAACAGCAGCATGAGCCCCACGCCAGGGACTGTGTCCAGCCCTGGGGGTGGCTGGGTGGTGACGCTGTCCCCAGGGATGCCACCATGACGTTGTGGCAGCTGTGCCACCCGTGTCCTCTTTGGTGGTGGCATTGTCCCCCTTCCCAAAACACATCCCTCAGCCCTGATGAGCACAATGAAAGGGGAGGGGGGGAGAAAGGGCACAAAGAACAAAAAAACTCACGACAGAGACAGCTCCCAAGCGGAGACAGGAGGGAGGGGGACACACAGTCAGACCCCCCATCCAGGGGAAGCAGGGCCAGGACAGGGGTCCTGTGCCAGCAGCAGAGCTGGGACCCCCAGCTCACCCAACCCCCCTCCCCAGGTGCATTCAGTGTCAGTAAGAGCGGCTGGGAGGGACCTCCTGGCTCCGTGCTTGGGTGTGCTGGGTCAGAGCGGGGCCAGGCGGGTCCCCGATCCCCCCCGTGGCCCCGGCCGGTGACACCGAGCCGGACACTCACTGTAAGTCCGCAGCACTGTCAATTTTCAGGAAGTCCTGTTTGGCTCTGAGCAAAATGTCGGGCTCAAGTCTGGGGACAAGGAGGCGGCGGTGGAAGGGGGGGACAGCCGGGGGGACGAGGGGGAGAGAAATGGGGGGGCCGGGGAGAGAAAACACCCCGTTAATGCCAAAACAACAGCAACCAGACAGAAACCAGCCAAAAACTCACTGCAAAGGGGACACCAAGTGCGACACCCACGGGAGAGGGCACACAGAGCTGGCACAGAGACAGCCTCCTGGGGCGGGGAGGTGGCCTGGCCCCATGCAGGACTCCCTTCCAGGGATTTGGGGCGCTACGGGGGAACCCCCCAGGCTTACTTGACGTCCTGGCTGATCTGGCGCTCCAGGCGCTGGCGCCGCTCCTCCAGCTGCTCGATGGGGCTCTCCTCAGGGAACTCGTACGGGGCCGTGCGCATCTCGTTCTCGGCCAGCGAGCGGCAAAACAGCTCCTGCCCAGAGCCAGAGCAGCCCTGCCTGAGCTGAGCCTGGCTGTGAGCTGAGCCCAGAGCAGCCCAGAGCAGCCCAGAACAGCCCAGCTGTGAGCTGAGCCCAGAGCAGCCCAGAGCAGCCCAGAGTAGCCCAGAACAGCCCTGCCATGAGCTGAGCCCGGCTGTGAGCTGAGCCCAGCTGTGAGCTGAGCCCAGAGCAGCCCAGCTGTGAGCTGAGCCCAGCTGTGAGCTGAGCCCAGAGCAGCCCAGAACAGCCCAGAGCAGCCCAGAACAGCCCAGAACAGCCCTGCTGTGAGCTGAGCCCAGAGCAGCCCAGAGCAGCCCTGCTGTGAGCTGAGCCCTGCCGTGAGCTGAGCCTAGAGCAGCCCTGCCATGACCTGGGCAGCATCAGCCCTGCCATGGGCTGTGCCCAGAGCATCCCTGCCATAAGCCGGGTGCAGCCTCAACCCCTGGACTCTCCCAACATACGCTCACCCCCCCAGACCTGGCAAACTTGGTGCCCCAGACTCACCTCAGCGATCTCCTTGTATTTGCCATCCATGGAAGTGCGCAGATCCACCGGGAAATGCTTCAGGGAATGGGGGGTCCCGGGCAGGGACCAGGCTGACTGCAGGGGTCGGGCCCCTGGCCCCCCCCGCAGCTCTGCAGGGAGTGGGACAACATCAGCTGGGCTGGAAGGGGTTAATCAGCCCCTCCACAGCTCCCCCTCCCCACCATGGAACTGGGATGTTCTTCCCAATGGGGATGATGGGGAAACTGAGGCAGCTCAAGGGCAAGAGGGACCCCCCGTCTCTAATCCCCCTGGGAGGGCTGCTGGCTCCATTGGGGGGTCTGTAAGATGCCAACAGTGAATGAGGGGCTCAGGGCCAGGCTGCAGGACCCCCATGGCATGGGGGGCACAACTCTGGGGTCCACTCCCTCTGCCAGTGCTGCCTCCCTGCCCCCCATCCCATCCTTTCCATCACACGGGGAGGGGAGGTGACATCGTCCCCCCCCAAACACCTCCCATTGCCCCCCTGTTCCCATCAGCACTGGGGCCATCAGGCTGGGGGTGCCCAGTGCCACCCCAATGCCAACACCCTCCTCTGCGACCCCAAACCCACCACACACCTGCCTGGGGGGCACTGGAAATCAGGTCCTGCTGGTTAAACTGGGTCCACCAGTAAGGGCCCCTCCACCCAGCACAGCCTGGGCAGGAGGTCCAAGTCTCCTGAGCCCCGAGTTTGAGCCTCCACCCCACTGGGACTTGGCGGGGGCTGGGCTGTTGTCACCCAAGGCAGGGATGGCACTGGTGTCAGTGGGATGTGCTGGCGGTGCCCCCGGGTGTCACCCAGGGTGTCCTGTGCCCCCGGGACACATCCTATGCTGCCCACATGTGACAGGTGGCAGCCCTGGTGGCACTCCGAGACTGTCCCCAACACGGGTGCCAGCCAGATGACAACCCCAAAGTGCCACCTCGTGCCACCATCCAGGCACCCTGTGCCACCCACCCAGGACAAATGTGGGTCACCAGAGCCAGGAGCAGTACGGGTGACATCCCTGGACCCGCCAGAAACACCAGCCAGGTGACAAGCCCGAAGTGCCACCTCACCCCGGTGATATCACCGCCACCAGCACCATTTGCCATCCACCTGGAACACGTGTGCCACCCACGTGTGCGCGACACGCTGAGACCCTCTCCCAACAGTGCCAGCCGCAAAGTGCCACCTTGCCCACCCAGTGCCGCCCCACGCCACCCGCGATCGCCCCCGCGGAGCCCCCTGCCCCCTCCAAACCGGGTCCGCCCCCCACATCCCCCGGCGCTCCCGCTCCTTCCTCCCCCTCCTCTTCCTCCGCTCTCACTGCGCCACCGAGGCGCCGGCGGGAGGGGACACGCAGGGTCCCGGTGCCACCCTCCCGGTGCTACCGGGACACGGCGCTGGCTCCCCGCCACCGAAACCCCTCCGAGCATCCCCCCACCCACACCGATCCCCCCGGCTCGCTGCCCCGCGCCCCCCGCGCCGGGCGGGACCGGCGTGTCCCCGTGGGCTGCGTGTCCCCGTGGGCTGCGGGGTGCGGGGGGTTTTGGGGGGAGGTCTCACCTGCGGGGCTGGGGGTCTGCAGGCTACCCCGCTTCTTGAAGGGACACTTGGCCGGGGGGACAGAGGACATGGCGGCTCCGGGGGGGCCGGGGAGGAGCGGAGGGGCTGATGCTGGCGGTGATGATGGTGATGGTGGTGATGGTGGTGATGGTGGTGATGGGGGCGGGGGGTGACGAGGGGCGCCCGGGGGACTCTTACGGCGGCGGGGCCGCAGCGGCCGCTCCCTCCCCTGGTTGATGATTGATGCAGGAACCCGGGAATGGACCAAAGTCCCCGGCGGGGCCCGGCCGGAAACCGGGACGAGGAAGAGGATGGGGCGGGCGGAGGATGTGGCGAGGAGGAGGAGGAGGAAGGAGGTGGCTGCGGCGCTGGAGGGTGGGAGAGGCGGGGGCAAGACCCGGGATGGGGCTGTGACAGCCCTGGGCCAGCCGTGGCCCCACTCACGGACAGCCCTGTCCCCCCACGGAGGAACGTGACACCCCCCGAGGAGCGCTCTGTAGCGGTGTGGGGTCGGCTGTGACACCCCCGTGTAACCCCCCGGCCCGGAGAGCCACCGCCGGCAGCTCTGTGCCTCTGTGGGACCCCCGGCACGGCCCCACGCCCCTCTCGGGGCCACTCGTTACCCCCGGGTCCAGCCCGAATGTCCCCCCAAAGCGGGGGGACCCCGCGAGAGATGGGGTGAGACCCCCCCAAAGTGGCAACGATGCTTCCAAAACAGGGTAACCAATCCCCTGCCCACCCCCGAACAGGCTCTGCTCCCCAAAAAGACAGAGTGTCGTTCTTCTCCATCCCAGTGGGAATCTCTGTGCCCCCCCCCCCAGGGGCAGCGTCACCCCCGGGGTGGGCAGCCCCCTCCCCAAGGCTGGAGCTGCACCCCAACACAGAGCGTCACCCTCCCCCGTTAAACATTGTACCCCCAAAGGCACCGGGTACCTCCGAAATCATCCAATACCCCCCAAAAATGGGGCATCCCCCGCCCCAGATGTGGTACCGCACCCCGAAAGAAGGACTCCCACTCCTGCAGCACTCCCCGGCTCACACCCTGCTGGGGGCTGCCCTGAGCCCCCCAGGAATGTCCCCAAGGAGCCCCTGCCCCCCGAGTCCCCCAGCTCACCCCCCAGCCAAACTGGGGGCCACCCGGCTGCGGGGCTGTCACCTCTGCCATCGCCCCGCTCTCCGCGTGTCCCTACCTGGGCCGGGCTCCCGGTGCCGGGTGGCTCTGTGGCTGTCGGGCTGTGTCCCCTCCGAGCGCCCCGAGTGTCCCCTAAGCTGCCACCGCCGCAGGGGGGTATTTTTAGCCGCTGTTAGAGGGAGGGAATGTCACCCACCCCCCCTCTGTGCCCCCCACCCCTTGTCGAGGGGTGAAGGGACAGCGAGGTGACACCACCCACCGGGGCCAGGCTGTGCCAGGCTGGGAGGGCACAACAGCCACGGGGGACAGTGGGGACCCCCAGCCTGTCCCCCGCCCGCGGGGAGGGAGGGGTGGTGTCTGGTATTTTAATTGGACCCCCCTCATTAGCGCCGAGTTCATTAGAGGCTCAGAAAGGGCTTTGTGTCCGCGGGGACAGCGGGAACAGAGTGTCCCCAAGCAACGGCGCTGGCAGGGAATATGCGCCCGGTGGGACGTGGGGACACCGGCGGGGGACATGGAGCCCCCAGTGGCCCTGTGCAGCGCGGGGATTTAGGGACACCTTAAACCCAAACATCGGGGACCTGCAGGACTTTTGGGGGTCCCAAAGGCCACGCCGGGGTGGGGTCTCCCCCTGTGGTGCCCACCTAAAGGCAGCCTCGCAGGAGGAAGGGGGAGGCACCCACCTGTCCCCAGGGTTTGGGGGGACCTGCTGGGCTGGGGGATGGGCTGGGAGGAGGAGGAGGAGGAGGAGGAAGGCTGAGCCACGATCCCATTAAAGAGCTTAGGCAGCGGGGGGCGGCACTCAGCGGGGCAGGATTAGGGGCCTCGTTACCCACCCTAAGGGTAATTAGCTCCCTTTTCCCTGCAGGAGGAATCCCCCAGTGCCACTTCCCCTGCCATCACCCCCCTGCCACCACCCTGTCCCCCTGTCCCCACCCAGTCCCCTGCCACTGCTGTGGAGCACCCAGGGGTGGGGGGCACTGTACTCAACCAGGGGCTGATCCCATCCTCAATGCCCCCCAAAAGTGAGGTGACAGCCCACAAACAGGAGGGACCCCCAAAATGGTCCCCACTTCCCAAGTCACCTCAGGGACCCGTCCCCACGGGCAGGGGGTGTCACGCTGATGCCGCCCCCTTATGTAAAGCCCCCTGCCCACCTCCCTGAGATGCTCCATCCTTTTTTTTCTCCCTGAGCCCTAATCTTTGCCATCTTGGGCTAATTGGATTTCCTGGGTCACATGGCAAGATAAAAAGTCCCCAAATCCCACGGTCAAAAAAAATCAGGTTATCCATGGGGAATTAAGGGAGAGAGCGGGGGGCAGCCAGCTGCGAGGACCCACCGAAGAGTGCTGCCAGCTTGGGGCACCCCAACATCAGGGTGCGGGGTACCTAGCTCGCCTTTTCTGGAATTTCTCTGTCACCCCCAGTGCCCACCTCGTCCCCGAGGTGTGCGTTTTATCTCCTTGAAGAGCTGGAAAAGCCTGGGGACCTAGAGGAGCTTGTGGAGTTACTGGAGGAGGAGGAGGACGAAGCCATGGGGAGCGGGGCCAGTGCCGAGGACAAGGAGATGGCCAAGAGGTCCAAGGAGCTGGAGAAGAAGCTCCAGGAGGATGCAGACAAGGAGGCCAAGACGGTCAAGTTGCTGCTGCTTGGTAAGGCTGGAGGGGACGGCCCCTGGAGATGTCCCTGTTCCCATCCATTGAGGCTGAGGGATGTGGGCATGGGGAGGGGGACAGGGAACCCGTGAGCCCCTGGGCTCCTCCTGCCCTGCCTCTGGTACCCCTTGGACAAGCCACCATCAGCCTGGAGAGGTTGTCCCACCACCAGGACGTCCCCAACCGGGAAGGGTTGGGTGTGGCATCGGCTCTTGGGGGTGGCAGTGAAGGGAACAATGTGGGGATGGGGGAAGGGACCAAGACACCGGGTCCCACCGAGGATGCACCACATCTCAGGGGGGTCAGTGAGAACCTGGGGAGCTTCTGCCACCAGCGCACCAAAACCTGCTGGTGGGTGCTAGGCAGGAGGAGATGGTTCTTTGGGGGTCCCTCTGCACCCCATGGGGCTAGGGGGTGACCCTGTGGGGCAGGGGTGTGACTCCATGGGGCAGGGGCCAGCAGTGGGGCCTTATCCAGGTGGGGGGGCTGGGGTCAAGGCGATTAACACCCTAATTCTAAGCAGCTTCCTGTGCTGCCCTAAGCCGCTTACGGCCCCAAAGGCACCGGCGGGCACTGCCCACGGTGGCGGGAGGTGTGGGACCCGGGGACTGCACCCAGGAGGGTCCCACCACACTGGGGGTCTCCGAGCTGTGGTCCCACACAGGGTGCAAGGGGTGGCAGGAGTGTGGGGATGACGGCAGTGGTGGGAGGAGGCCAGGCTGAGTGTCCAGGCAGGAGATGGGTGGGGGACAGTGGCTTTGGTCCCCATGCGGTGCTCATCACTGTGGCAACAGGCCCTGATGGGCACTAAGGTGTCCCTCCCACCCTTTTCCAGGGGCTGGAGAGTCAGGGAAGAGCACCATCGTGAAGCAGATGAAGTGAGTATGGCCTGAGCAGGATGGGGAGGGGGAGGCCACAAGGATGAGCCACCAGCTCTTTGACATGGGGTGGCTGGGCTCCCAGTCACCCCTCCATGTCACCTGGTGGTGGCACCTGTGATTCCCAGTGTGGGGTGGTGATTCCCACCCCAGAGGGGATGTCCTGGCTTGGGGCTGAGGCCACTGTGCCTGCCAGGATCATCCACCAGGACGGTTACACGGAGGAGGAGTGCATGGAGTTCAAGTCCATCATCTACGGGAACATCCTCCAGTCCATCTTGGCCATCATCCGCGCCATGTCCACGCTGGGCATCGACTACGCCGAGTCCGCCTGCGCGGTCAGTCCGGGCGGTGTCCCTGTCCCCAGACCCCACGGCGTGGGGCCAGGGCAGCCCCAGAGCCAGGGCCCACAGCAGCCCCATGCTGTCCCCCAGTCCTGAGGGCACTTTGGGGGGACAGGGGCCACCAGGGGGTTGGTGACGAAGTCCCTCTCACAGGATGAAGGCCGGCTGCTCTTCAACCTGGCTGACTCCATCGAGGAGGGCACGATGCCCCCCGAGCTGGTCTCCTGCATCAAGAAGCTGTGGAAGGACGGGGGGGTTCAGGCGTGTTTTGACCGTGCTGCCGAGTATCAGCTCAACGACTCCGCCGCGTAGTGAGTGGGGACATGGCGGGCACAACGGGGACCAGCCTGGGGACCCCCTGGCAGCTCATGGCCAGCTCCAGCCCAGCCTGGCAAAATCCATCTCCTCCCTGCTCCTGGGAATACCCCGAGCCTGCCATTCTTCATCCCACCAGTGTCATCCTCCATCCCACCGGTGTCATCCTCCATCCCACCAGTACCATTCCCCAATCCCACCAGTACTGTTCTCCATCCCAGCAGTGTCATCCCCCATCCTACCAGCGCCCTTCTCCATCCCATCAGTGCTATCCCACTGCTGCCGTCCTCCGTTCCATTG